TTTATCATCAAATACAGTATGATATAATATGTCATTAATGATATTAGAATGCTGCTGGTTTTTTGGTTACGATTTCGATAACGGTTTCTTTCGGGATTTCTGTTGAGCAAAATCTTCTATTATAGGCATAGTATATGCCTTGTAAATCTTCTGATTACTGATTTGTGAAAAAAGTGTAATTTGCCCAACAAAAATGTTTTGAGAATAAACGTGTGAGAGAAATTGACGGTCCTTCGGGGCCCCCTGAGAATGGGGCCCTGGGCACGGGCCCCGAGTGCCCTTATGGTAAAGACGGTATTGGATGTCAGCTTAAGATATCCGTCGGTTTCTAGCGAACTATTTTTTCAAAATCGGCCGTTGTGTACAATTCTTTTTCAACAAATGTTCGTGTACAAACGAAGAAATAAACAAACATTTCAAGAATATTCATTTTACATTCATAGCTCATTCTTTATGCTCCACAACTACTTTCTGTTTATTATTTTTCTATTATTTCAGTCTACGACTTTATTATTTTCCAATCAAATTCAACTTTCGCAATATCTGAAATTAGGTACTCTCTTCATTACTGACCAAGTATATCCTATCTATCTGGTAAGTATATTATATACAAAACAAGTGTTTCATTTTCGCCGCGGCCGCGTTAAAAATTTACCTTTGACTTAAATTCATTCATTCATTAATGAATTCATTACATCAATGATGAATTCATTAAATCAATGATGAATTCATTCGTTGAAAGATGAAATCTTTCGGTCAATGACGAACTCATTCGTTCAATAATGAAATCACTAGTTCAATTATGAATTCATTCATTCAATGACCAATTCAAACATTCATTGATGAATACATCCGTTCAACAATGAATTCATTCATGGAGCATAGTCCCTGCAATAAAATGACAAAAATCAATCAATCCCATGTTTATTGTATATTAAATACAGTTAATTAATACATAACATCAATAACAAGTAACTGTACAGGGATTATCACAATTAATGTAGTCTACATACATAACAATACCTAATAGATATTTTAGATGCATAAGTACAGAACGGCACATTTTCCAATCATTAGATCATAAAAATGAGGTTACAAAACTGAGTTATACTATTGTGACCTCGTTAATACTGAAAGAAAAGTAAACATTTAATTTTTAAAGGATTAATCTCACCTTTTATTTGACTAACGACGCAGTTCAACTCACTTCCTTGTAAGTAACAAAAAGTTTTTTAAAAAGCCTTTCATAATTCAAAAGTGAACGTCTAGTGACAGATACAGGATATAGAATTATTAGTTAGATTGGCCCTTAGATTTAGTCGACAAAAACCCTTATAGTATTCATAAAACGGCCTGCAACAATGATTATAGATAATAATTCTGTTACGATAAACAGTTCGACACAGAATAGTGACCCATCATTTCGCAGCGGTTTAGCAGGAATGGAGCACAAGATCGATTATAATTCGAACAGTGAACGTAGAATGATGAAAGTAAATAAATAAATAAAAGGTTCCACGTAAATTGCGTTACCATTTACACCATTTCATAGTCACTTCTGTTGTTACCTCGTTTTTAGGATCAAATCATTCATTAATATTCTAATAAAACAAATGATCGCAAATTAATCCTAACTTACTATCACAGAAGATTAAACATTTGATATACAGTATTCACGCTCTATATTTGTATTTCTAATGCAATTAATTAGAATATTCAACAAACGATGTACCGCTGATTTATCAATAATGGCAAAAGTCAACATTTAATAAAGACGATATTGAGAAAACGCATATCTGCACGTTTATATAAAATAGCCATCGACTATAATAGTAACGACTTTATTACTATCGGCTATGTACACTTTTTAGAGATTACGAAATTTTGATTTTATTTTCTTAGATATGACCAACGTAAATATATATATAATTTACTTAAATCATATAAAAAGAATATAGCGGATATTGATTTGATGACGATAATTACATGTGTTTGCGTCGAAAATTACTTAACCGTGAAAATAAGTAGGTACTTAGTTTTAATTAAATTGTTTAAATTTTCATCATATTATGCTTTGGTAAGCGTGACGGAGTGTAAACAGTAGGGTCTTTTTCCTACATATGCTGGTAATTTAGGGGGTTATGCCAGCGTAACCGGGCGAGTAGGGTTTGTAAACGACGAGTTGCCTCAAAGGAACTTCCCATAGACACAGCCTACTGAATTTTTCGCCGGATCTTCTCAGTGGGTCGCGTTTCCGATCCTGCGAAGCACTGCTCTTGCTAGGGCCAGTGTTAGCAACACTGCGGTTTGAGCTCCGTGAGCTCACCTACACGTCAAGGAGAAGCTGAAATAGCCTGTCAAGGCTATCAGCAAAAGAAGGAAAAAAGGCGTCAAAAAATTCCCCACTAAACAGTAATATTGCTGCGAAGATATGGTATATGATAGAGGAAGAGTATGGAAGGAGAAAACATGTTGCGCCGACCCCAGGTGACTGAGAGAAGGGCAGCAGAATGATGAAAAAACAGTAATGGTGCTGTTTGCCTGCCTGTAACAGATTAGGTCCGTGCACTACCTCCAGACGTGTATACAAAATCATTCAGGTTAGGTATATGCAATTTCACAAATCGTCTTCATTTTGTGTCGTTTTTCAATAAGCGACTATATTCTATGACTTTCTAATATTATTTATTTACATAGTTTAAATTCTATGTTAGGAAGCAGTGACAAATTACCTTTGCTAATCAATATCTACATATATTTTGTAATGTAAATATTAGAAAATTTACAAAAAGTTATTATTCAATTGTTATTTACTTCATCTTGTGTTTATTTTGCGTGTCGAACAAATGGAATACTATGTACAGATTTCGTTGTCAAGGAAGACTAAAATAAAGCGTTTTTAAGGACGTCTTTAGAGAAACAAATCAAATTATATTTGCGTGGGTTGCTGATATTAATTTTAAGCTTTTAATTTAAGTCATTTTGATGCAACCGAATATGCTGCATTTTGTTTAAAGTTAGCGTTTGAGATCGCCTATTGTAAGTTTTTATGATAGACGAAAAAGTAGGTAGACGAAATATTCAAAATAAATGTAATCACCACGTATCGACTTTTAATTTATACAAATCATGAACCAGCTTCAAACGTTTGAGTCAAGGTTGCTTTATTTAACAAATTACTTCCTGATTGGAATAGTAATTATGAATTACTCAATTGTTTTTGAATACAATGTTTAGTATAGGCTAATGTATTGATTTACATTTGTATATCAAGTAGTTTTTAAGATTTATTCAGGGTCCTTAACTGTTAAACTGCAAATTAGAGTCTACTGTAAGATTTTTATTTTGTATATGAGTACATAATATTTTTAGATTTTTAAAAGTGTTCAGTTAATCTGTTACAAATGTAAAAAGGCAGAAAAATTTCATTACACAACATACTAAACCCGAATAAATATAATACATTAAACACTAACTTACTCGTCTTAAGATCTTTTAACATATTAATAAATTAATAAAAAATATAATCATATAAAACGTTTTTTTTTATGAAATATTTATATTAGTCAGTGAAAATAGAAATATGGATAAGCTACAACATTTAATTCTTTACTTTCAATATGAGAATTTACTTAGGGTACTCTAAATGTACTTATGTTCATTTAAACAATCTATACTAATATTAAAATGTGAAAGGTTGTTTGTTTGGATATATGTATAGTATATAAATTAACGCAAAAATGGCTCAACAGATTTTTAGAATATTCTGCTATGAATTATGATATAGAATACTTTTTTCTTGGTAATCTGTCCTTGGCCTCTTGGGAAATGCTTGTGTGTTCACTAGTTTATCATTTTATGTGCCAATGTCTGGGATTGTAAAGTGACTTTTTGTCTAGAGAAAATGCAATATTATATTTCATTCTGAATTAAAATTCAATACCGAATACATCAAGTTGTAGGGTAAGAATGAAATCCTACGAGTTATTGCAAATTTCCTTTTTTTTAGTTAACTATTTTTTACCGGCCATACATGGAGTGGACTGCTATACATGGAAAGTTAGATATTCCCAAGTATGGAGTGGTATTTAAGGTTGGATTACATAAAATTAAAACTGGAGGTCTTATTGCTAAAAAATGTTTACTTCCAAAATTATAACAACATGACTATTCTAAAATTGAAGGATAAAAGATTTTAAAATGTCACATTTTATTAGAGTCAAATATAAAGTCAAAAATATATTGGGATAATTTCTTTGACTATTTCATTCATTACAGTGTTTAGATGACTGTTTTTGCATAGATTCAAGTGTGTTCAAAACTTGATAATATTGCAATCTCCTGAGTTATTCACATCATAGTGAATAAATTTGTAATGATTATTATGGATGAATGGAAGGTTGTGGCTTTTAGTTGTATGTCTGCAATGTCCCCAGCAAAAGTATAGAGGTTATTTATGTTTGATACACTACTATATATTTCATGAAAAAGGTCTAATGTAATAATGACATTACACCCTTTGTGAATAGTTTATAAATTTCTTATTATAATAAAACTTATACTTTTTTTCATATTACTTTACAATATTTGAAATACTTTCCAAATGATGAAATATGACTAATTTTTTTTTATATAATCTTGTTGTTAGTATCACAATTTGTTTTTTTAAAGGTTTTAAAATAGTAGTACTTACTGGAACACAAATTTTTAACAAAATTATGCAAAACGATCTGGAAAGTATTTAATCTAGTCTTTGTGAATTGTGAGAACCTAAACATATACTAGTTTAACTGAATTTGAAATATATTTTTACAGTTAATCTTTAAAGCAAATGCTTCAAATAAAGATGACCTTTCAACTTTTACGATTCCATCCTTTACTTTTTCTAATTCTACACAATTTTGCAGTCTATTAAAATGAGAATGAATTAATAGATATAATTGAATTGTTAACATTTTTTGTATTCTATAAGTACTTTCAACTTTACTGTATAGCGTTTTTGACCAATTAAAGAAGAAAAAAAAAACTAAATTAAAAACATGCTTTTTTGCACAATGTACATGTTTTGGGCATTGAATAATCAATTTTCAATATAGATTTGTAACATTGTCTAACTTTAAGAAATGTTATTTAATGAGAAGATACATATTTTTTTTCATACTTAGAATCAATACTTATACTTAACAAAAATTATGAATACAAAGAAGTGCTATTTTATTTTAATATCAAGTATTCATTTGATATTTGTTTTTCGAACAGAGTATAGGTACTAAATGAAGTTTTTCCATTTGTAAATATGAAATGTATTATGAACATTACTATATGGTAATTTTGAATGAATTCGTCATCGTCTCGAGTTATTCAATATATTAGCATTGAATAAACTTTAGAATTTAATATTCGTAGTCAATTATTACTGTTACTCACAATGTCAGTGACTGTAGAATTATTTATATAGATAACGGCTGTTGGTTATGCTTCCAAATCTCGCTTCTTGACGGAAAGTCACCTTCTTGAGCACAGAGTTTTCACTTTGGAAGAATAAGAGCACGGTTAGGAATCATACTTTTCCGTTTCACATTGATTCCAAAACAAACAATTACCGATACCGCTGTAGCATATTAAAATCACAGTCACTAGGAAGACGACGCTACATACCGTACAGGGTTTCCGTTCTAAGAAAAATCCTATTAAATATAACACCATGAACATTACATGAGTATTCACCAATGCCGGGTTCACAGGCTTTGGTATTAGAAGAACGGGAATCAGCCATTGCAGACAATACATCTTGATTTACGATTAATAAATTACAGCGAAGAACGATAAATTTGAAATACTTGTGTCGCAATCGGCATATTGCAGATAAGTTAATATTTTTAAAAGAGTCGTAACGCTATTGCTATGAAATAAAATCTGTAGAATTTATCCAATCTTTTGAGTTTGACGGCACAGATTATGTGAAAATATTTGACAGTTTGAGTTTCCAACTTGTTAAATAGTGTCAAATTTCACTAAAGATATTTCAATATTTAATTAATCAATACATAATTATCTACTAAAGTTCAGTTTTATAATTAATTCTAATATGTAGTATATCTGCGATGTGGTTCGTCCCCTTCTGTATGTAGTGCGTTCCAGCATTTTGGTACAGGAATTTGCTATAGCGAGATCGCATGTAGCAGCTATTCAAATAATAAACTTCCCCACTTCGTTTATAATGCCAAATCGATGACCCATGCTCTTTTACAAAGCATTCTTTTCAGGACTTAAATAACCGTTTAAATTCGCGCCCAACAGTATTGTCTCTTTCGAAGTTATCTGTGGTGGATTGTCTTTTAAAGTTGTCCAAAAAGTGTCCTAAAATTACAGCGTAAAACGATAAATTTGAAATCGAGACATCGCCTGTCGTCAATTCGATTTACCTCTAAGATCGAGGTGTTTGGGTTTCACAGCGATTGCTACACCATTTCTTCCATGCCTAGCGCCTGCATACATGACTTTGTAACAATCTTTAAGTCGTCGTGGCCTAAAGGATAAGACGTCTGGTGCATTCGTGTTAAACGATGCACCGATGTTCGAATCCCGCAGGCGGGTACCAATTTTTCTAATGAAATACGTACTCAACAAACGTCCACGATTGACTTCCACGGTGAAGGAATAACATCGTGTAGTAAAAATCAAACCCGCAAAATTATAATTTGGGTAATTACTGGTGGAAGGATCTCTTGTGAGTCCGCGCGGGTTGGTACCACCGCCCTGCCTATTTCTGTCGTGAAGCAGTAATGCGTTTCGGTTTGAAGGGTAGGGCAGCCGTTGTAACTATACTGAAACCTTAGAAATTATATCTCAAGGTGGGTGGCGCATTTACGTTGTAGATGTCTATGGGCCCCAGTAACCACTTAACACCAGGTGGGCTGTGATTTTTATATATATAGGTTATGATGGAATTTAATGATTCGAGAAGAGATGAGATGAAATAAAGTCTCACTAAACTTTACTGGTGGTAGGACCTCTTGTGAGTCTGCACGGGTAGGTACCACCACCCTGCCTATTTCTGCCGTGAAGCAGTAATGCGTTTCGGTTTGAAGGGTGGGGCAGCCGTTGTAACTATAATTGAGACCTTAGAACTTATATCTCAAGGTGGGTGGCACTTTTACGCTGTAGATGTGTATGGGCTCCAGTAACCACTTAACACCAGGTGGGCTGTGAGCTCGTCCACTCATCTAAGCAATAAAAAAAAAAGTGTGTGTGTCCGCTCCGACGCACGACTGGAGTTTACTGGATATAAAAAATTAAACGAAACAATACGAGAAATAGTTCTATATTACGACAACACGATACACTACAGATTATTAACAAATTAACGAGACACAAAACAAACGACTAACAAATATATGAAAATACAATAATGAGAGAAACGCGCGATCAGTACGAGGCTTTGTGGCGGACTGCCGGCGCAGGCGCATAACGCATTTCGTGTGACATGCTAGTACGATTTTGGTCCCCATAATTTTCATACCCCGGGCCTATATATGTAAATCGATTCTAAAGGAGTAAACTCCAAAAAAATTATAAAAATGTTACTGATATTTTAGTGAACATTTGGAAGAGCACGTGAAGCCACGTCCAGCGATTATAATCTTCCTACACTCGTATACTTTCACAGATGCTAAATGGTTAGTAAGTTGCCATTCTTAGATTTCTATGCCTGAAATAACTAAATTAAGAAAGTAAAACGATCCACTGTACTTCGCTCTTCGAGTTCCCGCCAAAAACAGTACGCGCGCTTTATCCTCAAGAATCTGGAATGTATGTAGGTTGTATGCTCGTTCCAGAATCTTATACGAGAATTATTTTACAATGCAGGCCATTCATTTGCGGAATGTGTTCTCAGTATCTGTAAGATATGCGAAAGTATCCGTTATTTTAAAGGAATTGTAAGTGAAAATTAGTTGTGTGATTAGATTTACCTTTATTTAGATATCAATATATTATTGGTTGAAATGAATTGAATTTATTGTGACCGACCGTTGGCTGTTTGACTGTTTTTGTCACTTATTTGTGTTTTGAATTTATATACCTAGTTCATTTTGTGTATCTTGTGTAATTAATTATATATGTTATATATTATTAATATGTATATATAATTACCTATATATTATGATTCTAATACAATCTGTAGTAAAATTATCTTTGAGTGTAATAGCATATCTTCGTTTTCTTTATTTTTGACCCTCTAATGGTTGTCTGGTAGAGTTCGTTTTAAGCGACAAGATCTTTTACATACTTCTACATACTTTTCTATGTTATTGCGACATTGTTCGCTTTTTTAACAGATTTTTATTAGCTTGGTATTTATGTACATATGTTTGTGAGTATACACGGCACGATACGCTTTGAACGTAATTTTCACTGACACCCACTTCACTTTGCACACGCATCGAGAATCTATAACAATGCAATAATTTATAGCTTCAGTCTAATATTATGATTATTATCAACATGATTAAAAAAAATACAAAATTAATTATTACTTCGGTTTGCTATTGAAGTGTACTTATTTTTAAAGTATATTATATTTTATTTATTTAAATGTAATATAGGTACACATCTCTTATTACGCTCATATAAGCTAATTAGGCCATAATCATTGCAACTTGAATGTGTGCACAAATCTCGAGATATGGGATGGTTTTTATTCCTACCTATTCTGATAGCCTTGAGAGGCTATTTCAGCTTCGCCCTAATGTGTAGCTGAGCTCACGGGTCTCTAACCGGGAGTGTTGCTAACACTGGCCCTTGCAACAGCAGTGCTTCGCAGAATCTACCACCGGATCGGAATCGCGACTCACTGAGAAGATCCGGCGAGAAACTCAGTGGACTGTGTCTATGGTTTAATATGGGATCGAGTCTCAATTGGCATAAGGGCTGGTCCACACTTCAAATTAACACGTGCTTAAATTGCGATAAATGCGCTATATAATATGTATTATTATGTTATGTATAAATTGTGTATATGATTTTAAACATATGTATGAATATATTTATTTACATTAATATTCTGAGGAATTGTTCGACATGATACCGGCATCTCGTTTTTACCATCACACCGCCCGCCACCGGAGTAGAGTTCGTCCTTACTACCTGGAGCCACTGCGGTCATCCACAGTGCGTTTCCAGAGGTCTTTTTTGCCACGTACCATTCGGCTATGGAATGAGCTCCCCTCCACGGTGTTTCTCGAGCGCTATGACATGTCCTTCTTCAAACGAGGCTTGTGGAGAGTATTAAACGGTAGGCAGCGGCTTGGCTCTGCCCCTGGCATTGCTGAAGTCCATGGGCGACGGTAACCACTCTTATGATATTAAAATATGTGCCTTGTATGTTATATATATGTACATATTATGTATCCTGTGTGTGTTTGAATATGTGTATAATATTTTATGATTTTTATTTTTTTCTATTCTCAAAAACGAATGCACCTATCACAGCCCTCTCTACATCACCCTTGGTTGACTGGTGGAGATTGCATTAGCTATTAAGTCCGCCTATGTACCTTGGTGTTTACAGTTAAATACATAAATAAATGAAGTGACGGATACAAACATACAAACGTAAGTAATATGCGAGAAAACAAGGAATACACGATAAAGTGATACAAACGAACAAAGAAACAAATATAAATTATTGTCATTTTTTCAAGTGTAACATTTTAAATAACCTCCATCGTTTGTAATTTATTTTGATAAATAAATTAAAATGTGTTGGATAATTAATTTCTACATTGCATGTTTAAAGTCTCCTAAATACTCGTAATAAAAGTAAAATCATATTTCAACGCTTCGGTTTGTTAACAAAGAAAACTTCGATTTCCGTTGAAACTTTTATAATATCTGGCTTCCAAGACGGGCAGGCGGTCCGCGGGCAGAAAAAAAAAACGAACATAACGTCTTTCAATATTTTTTCAGTTTAAGGTTAAATTTTCATTTAAGTTCATTTTTGTTTACACATTATAACACACTTTTACAACATGGATACACAATTTGAGATAAACAAAATAAAGTAGTTATACACACACGATTAGGGAGACAATTAAAAATCATTTTTACACAAAATTTTAAGGTTATTAATTTTATTAAATTACATTTAAAATTCTTTTAATTAAAAATTCTTTAATTAAGATTACTAAATTTATCATAGTTCATTTTTATTCAACGTACAAGCGATCCCGGAAAATATCGAGAAAAACGTAGATTATTACGATCACGATCCTAGTCTAGCAGAGTTTAACACGGATCTGCTGTCCTCAGATTCTTTGCTCTAGTTGAACCAATCTATAGAAATACTTCAGTGTAGTCAAACTACATAGCCAGTTACCCGGGGGCGGGACTCCAAGCCTTTCTCATTGAAAATTTTCATTTAGATGTAGATGTGTAGGGAGTATTGGCGCATGCGTAATGGTACCACAAGCTTCTCGTACCGTCACTTCGGAAGTGTCAGCCGCCAGTGATCCGCGGCCTTCCCGCCCGCCGCCGTTCTCGCTAGCTCCTCTCAAATCACTAAGAGAAAACACAATAAAAACGACTCAAAGGTACGTGTTACGACACAAATCAAATTGGAATTAACCCTTGGGTGTAATGCATTACGGTTTATAATAACAGACAAGTTTGATTCAAAAATGTTCGATAATAAATCAATACAAACATTATTAAACCTAGGTACCGACGTTATCAATGGTGCGGTCGCTCTCGCTTCTTACTTATGGGTATTCATTATGTGCCATGACAACGAAGACGAGGCATTTTAAAGCATCAAATGTAAACTGTTCAATGAAGTGACAATAAAACAACAATAATAGTTTTTGGAAATATATTTATTATATTGTAACAATGGCGAACACAGCGCATTTGATGAGACGACAGAGTTCGCGGGACCTTTACGCGCAGAGGTCTCTAGATCGGATGGAGATGAAGGAGCTGAGAGGACGCCTCGTTACGATGGAGAACGGGCAGCCCGCGCACAGGACTCATGTCATGTACGGAGCTACCAACGAGGCCTTTGAAGACACAAGCCCGAACAGACGCTCGTCTGAAACTCCTACCAGCAAAGGGAGTTCCGGTGAAGAACGTGCCGGTTTTAAGAACGAGGGAGCCGAGATAGAACGCGAGTCTTGGGATAGTAAATTGACCTTCCTACTCGCAACCGTCGGATATGCTGTCGGCCTAGGAAACGTTTGGCGATTCCCATATTTAGCCCAAAAGAACGGCGGCGGTGCGTTTCTGATACCGTATTTCGTAATGCTGGCTATCGAGGGCATACCGATATTTTACTTGGAATTGGCAATCGGTCAGAGATTAAGGAAAGGCGCTATCGGCGTTTGGCATCAAGTATCCCCTTACCTCGGAGGTATCGGCATTAGTTCCGCCGTGGTTTCTTTCAACGTGGCTTTGTACTACAACTCTATAATCGCTTGGTGCCTTTTCTACTTCGCTCAGAGTTTCCAGGCGGAATTACCTTGGTCTGAATGCCCGAAGAAATACTTCCCGAACGGCTCTTACACAAGCGAACCGGAATGCGCGGTAAGTACTTCCGTTACATAAGCCTCGATAGAAAGCTCAAATGTTTTGTTAGGATGTAGCTTTTGAATGTTTCCAAAAGCCTAACCTTCTTTTCATATAAATTTGCTTTTATGGATAAGGTGCCGTGTGTTGGGCGATCACCACGTGATTATTTGACCACTCAGTGTGAATAGTACGAATAGCTTTGGTTTATTTTTAGGTGCATATTTATGAAAATGAACTAGGCATAATTAAGAGTGAATTCATTTTACTTAACACCACAAGCGCTAAGATATAGTACAATCTATCTTAAGATTCGAACGTTTGATCCGGAAATCGTTACTTAAGTCAGAATAAAAATTTAAATTTCTTAATATTTAGTCTATATATTGGAATGGTATGTGTTAAAATATACAATTAAACAGTTTCGATCTATATTCTAGTGAATGATTGGGAAGAATTTATTTAAAAAACCTTAACATACTTACTTTTAGCCTGTACCTTTTGATATGATTACGGCCACATTTTTAATTTTGATTTTTTTAAATGATTTAATGATTTTTGATGAATTTGATGATTTAATGATTTAATTTTGACAAAAAGTGCTTTTTCTTCTACATAAATTGCAATAAATCATTACTTTCGTTCATGTCATATGAAGAATAAATCATAATATATTTAAAGGGCAACGATGTTTGATAACATTTAAGTATTGATTGTTTATTTATCTAATTATCCAAAAATTCCTACTTAATCACATATAGTTTAAGGGGCTATTTCAGCTACCGTCGGACTGGTAGGCAAACTCACGGAGTCAATCTAAGAGAATTTGCTCTAATAAAAGCAGTGCTTCGCTGAATCTACAACCCGGTCGGAATCGCGACCACTGAGAAGATCCAGCAAGAAGCTCAGTAGGTTATGTCTATAGGTTAGGTTGCACTACAAACTCTAAAGCCTAAAAGCATCGGCAGATGACGGGTTTGGATTGCCCCGGGTCAGGTATGTATTTCGAGGCGCCCACAATCGCAGGATTATCGTGGCTTTTTCAAAGAAGCGTTCTGACGCTAATCGTATGAAAAACGACACACATTAGTGATACTATAACAGAAATCTTCCCTGTATTAGCAACAACAACTGTATCAAGTTTCATTGCATTCGGGTGAATAGTTTAGGAATAGCATAGAGGACAAACATGCAAAGAAACATCACTTTTCATTTATGCAGAATGTTAGGTACATATATAGATTCTAAAATCCGTTCCTTTGTCGGGTATAAGCCGACCGGATAAATCTGGCCGGATTTATAGCTTAAGCTGTAATAAATACCATTGATGGCTGTAAATGCGTATGGTCTCCTTCGCGTATTTTGAAATATGGGCTGAATATCTCTTAAGCATTGCGTAATGGTTGTCACGCCCTTCAAGGTTCGAGTGGAAGCGAATAGTGAAGTAAGTCCGCAAGGTTTTCTTTTATTGCTTTGATGGGTGGACGAGCTCACAGCCCACCTGATGTTAAGTGGATACTGGAGCTAATAGACATCTACAACGTAAATGCGCCACCCACCTTGAGATATCAGTTCTAAGGTCTCAAGTATAGTTCCAACGGCTGCCCCACCCTTCGAACCGAAACGCATTACTGCTTCACGGCAGAAATAGGCAGGGTGGTAAATACCAGTAATTACGCAAATTATAATTTTACTGGTTTCATTTTTATTACACGTACCATTACGTATGGTACAAGTAAAATAGAATTAATTCCCAATTCTGCACAAGTAAGATTTTGTCTGAACATCAAACTTCGTACTCTGTTTGTCCCGAGCATCGATATTATTTATTAGCTCGATGGTGTCCAATTCTATTCTCGTTTAATTTATGATCACGGTATTATTATAACAATGTCGAGTTAAATAGTTGTTTTGTGTGTTACAGAGTCTTTTTAAGTCCATAGACGTCTCGAGACATGAGGTCTAAAGTCTCAATTGACTATGACGATGAAAGTTATTCGTGAATTTATATATATATATTTTTTATTCCTTAGATGGGTGGACGAGCCCACAGCCCACCTGGTGTTAAGTTGTTACTGAAGCCCATGGACATCCACAACGTGAATGCGCCACCCACCCTGAGATATAAGTTCCAAGATCTCAATATAATTACAACGGCTGCCCCACCCTTCAAACCGAAACGCATTACTGCTTCACGGCAGAAATAGGCAGGGCGGTGGTACCTACCCGCGCGGACTCACAAGAGGTCCTACCACCAGTAAATATTAATTTTAATAATACGTAATCAACACGGTACCCGTCCCTGGGATTTGAAAACTGGCATGGTACGCATCACACGAGTACACCGGGCGCCTTATCTTTTAGGTCCCGATGACTTCCTTAGTGATATGCGTAATCAACCTATGCAGATAGCGAAGAAAAAAATATTGCTTGTCTGTAAAGTCGATTTACGGACAATAGTTTTACTTGATAACGTCAGTAGCAGAACCATTCGAACTGCTATTTCTGACGTCACGCAAATAGAGAGATAAATGTTATTATCGGTTATAACGAAAAAAAAAAAAAAAAAACTAACAAAGTACGCTTTTATAGAAAATTCAACAAAAAAATTATAAAATAAATTTTAATAAATTTGGGTTAAAAATAGTGTAAGAAAAAATGATTTTACTGTAAAAAAACTATAATATTATTTATTTTTCATTTTTTAGTTGAATTTCAATTTTTTCAATATATTTTTTTCAATATTTTTGTTTTTCAAAATTTTTTTAGATATGGAATTGTCATCGGTCCTTAATAAGTATACCAAATTTCGAGTTTGTCCGACGTTTTGAAGGGGGTTAAAATCATGTTCCTTTGAATCTTTATTCCGTTAAAACCATACATACGTTTGAAGCTAATAAAAGCGTATAAATAACTTTGTTCTAAATATAAAAAAATATAAAAATTACAGTTTTCTTTATCACGGAGAACTGACGATGGTAATAATAGAACGCCAATAAGAAAAACGCGAGATAAAAACGTGAAAGTTTTAATTAGTGTCGACGAATCGTGAAAATGTAAGGTACTTTTTTTATTCGATCAACGCAAAAGCAACATAAAAGGTAATGAAACAAGAATCAATTTAATAAAACGACACAATGTTTTCGAAGAACATTTTGCTAATAATCACTACGGCGGCAGATTGGGCGGGGGCGGGTTAACTTAATTTTCGATTCTCACAGTCTATTTTGTGTTTGTTCGACAAGCTTAAAGCTGTTTAATTTGTAGAAGCTCGGTGACATTATGTTGTACAGATCAATGGAGGCGGTTCATTAGTCACAGAGAGCTTCACTGGTTTTCCTTTCATGTACTTTTATCTCTAATAACATTATCACTGTAACAATAACATCGGAAATGACGACTTTTAATATATGATTTATTAATTCACCTAACTGGAGGTAGGACCTCTTGTGAGTCCGCACCATCACCCTGCTATTTCTGTCGTGAAGCAGTAATGTGTTTCGGTTTGAAGGGCGGGGCGGCCGTTGTAATTATGCTGAGACCTTAGAACTCATATCTCAAGGTGGATGGTGGCATTTAGGCTGTAGATTTCTATGGGCTCCGGTAACCACTTAACACCAGGTGGGCCGTGAGCTCATCCACAAACATAAGCAATAAAATAATAATAATCTACTCAGTTTAGTGCAATGACCCATGTTTCGTTGTTTCAGATACATAGATTTAAAACGTGTGAAAATAAAGATTAACGTACCTTTCAAATCAGCTCATTGGTTTTACGGTTTTTGTCTGTAATGCCCTCATTATAATAGATAGGTAATAGACCCTATGTAGGGAAATAGAGTTTATTATAATCGAGGAGAAGGCAAAAGGTGCACAAATAGCTGCTGTGTCTTAATGTGGATTTCGTATATCTTTTTCTTCTGAGTCGGTCTCTTCATTGCCGAAGGTCGTGTCTAATTAAAAAATGTTAACCACTCCATGCAAAATGCTTCCCCACGTCTTTTTGGCCTCGGCGGCTTATAGGCTCGGTTATTGGCAGGCCGGTGAGGTTTTCTTTATTGGTCCGTCTACGGCATTTGATTACAAGCGTATATCATCGCTCGATGCTGATGCACCGGATGTTTGTCTCAAACTAAGGTAGTTTCAGTGTTCCATGTAAGCAAACAATGAGCGTTCACACTCAAACGCACTGCAGTGGAGGCAAGACACACAATAGCGTATCCTGTTAGGAACAGTTAATTCGACACGCCCAATTAAATAGACTACGAGAAATACTTACGTATGACGTCATCCGCTATCATATTTGTGATAGCATTTAGAAAATAATAGAAGGTGCTTAGTTTTTAGTAAAGTAACTTGGTTGTTCTCATTATTTGTGACTCTGAATGCTAGAGGGTAGGGTTCAAGTTTGATTAACAAAGGAAGTTGATATCATTGCTTAAGATTTAATATTCGGTGTCTGGTTAATGTTCTATAATTGTTCTCGTGTCGCATGCGTTTCTGGTAACCATAAAACAAGTGAAAGCCCCTTAGAATCTTGCGGCTGTAGTGTGTGAAATGCTTTAGTTAAACAAAATACGAATTACAAAAAAAAAGGTCTATGGTTACGTTACGTGACTTATAAGACATTATGTGTGTTACTTATATGACAGTGTTGCGCTGAGCTAATATTGACCACATTCCGTGAGATGATATTTGCGGTGGACTTGAAGATACGCTTGATGTGCCGCAGGTCAAGACCGTTTTACAGTTGAGCCATTGTGCTATAGTTGAATAGAGGGCTGTTTAATTCATTCGACTCCAACAAACCCATCTCGCACTTCTATTTCATGAGATAACGATCTTTCTGTTCGTGCCGAGTGCCGAACCTTTTACGAAGTTACCAGGTTTTTTTTGTTCCATAGGTGGGTGGACGAGCTCACGGCTCACCTGATGCTAAGTGGTTACCGTAGCCCATAGACATCTACAACGTAAATGCCTCCACCTACCTCGAGACGTTAGTTCAAAGGTCTCAGTAT